ACCGCGGGCGCAGGGACCTGAGGTACAGTGTCTCCGGCAGCAGCCTCAAGCTCAACCCAGCGCTGTAACTCGGCCTGGAGTTCAGCCTCCGTGGCATAGCGGTCTTCATCAGCCGCCTGACGCTGAAGGGGGGTCGGCAGAAGAGGACCCGCAGTCTGTAGTGGTGGGACTCTGAGGTGGCCCGCCGCCCCCACTCGCTTCGTGGCTGTGCCCGCCACGTAGATTGGCCCGACCACGTGACGAAGCCCACATCTGCACCGTGGGGTGTGTTCGATGTGGTACCTCAGACGTGTAGTGGAGTGAAAGTCGCGCAAGCACCAGCGGCAGACGGTGTCGACGATGAAGGACATGCTCTCCGACACCACTCCATGCGTGCGGTGCAAATGCACAGACAAGGCATGCTTCGTGGGCCGAGTTTCCGGACAAACATGGCATTTCCACGCCGGAGGCGGTCGTGCCCGGGCCTCCACCAGCGGTTGCGAGTGAGCAAGGCTCTCCTTGTTCGTGGCCCAGTGTGCCTTTAGGGCACGCAGTAGGGTGCCATGCTGACTGACCCGTTTGCAGGCCTTGAGAAGAGCGCGAGAATTTGTGCGAACTGCTTGGCGGAAGCCGCCCGTGATGAGCTCACCAGGGATGTATGTGCTGCGCCAGACCTGCCTGGTCGCGTACAGCAGGTCGCGCGCCCAGGGCACATCCCGCATCAGGGCGGCCTCGAACATGTCCCACACTCGTTCAGGAGCAGACACACATAGCTGCACGACCAGTCTGCATCTCGCCACAAGAAGGGCCTCTGTTGGCGAAGTCACAGGCACAAGCACCTCCAGGGCTTTCTGGCATGCGTGGTGCCCCTCCTGCCAGGTTTGCCACACTTTCCTCCTAATACGATGGAGGAAACTTTCCATCGGTTTGAGGCTGTTGCGACCTGGCGCAAGGGAAGTGGCCAGGCAAGCATAAGTGGCCGGTAGGATTCGGCCTGCAATCCATCCTTCCCTGATTCTCCATGGAAGGCGCGACCTGGTGAGCAACGGCCCAGCAGCGACTTCAGCTCCCCTGCCACGGCCAATGGCTTGCTCAATATCTCGCCTGCCATTGTCTCGGGGCAACTGCGGAACACCAAGATATTTGTATTCGGGAGCAATCCTTATGGCTTTAGCATCCAATTGGACGATGGCATCCCCTTGCAGCAGCGTTCCTCATAGACCCTCGTGGCGCTGGCCTCCGTCTTCCCAGCCGACACATTGACCCGGAGTCGGAACTGTTGAAAGACCTCAAGCGTAATGCTGCCCATGCATCGCAAGGTCGAGGGCAGGAGCCCCGCCTCTGGCACATCAGCGAGCAAGACGAGGTCATCTGCCCATGCAATGGGGCATGGCTCCTCTACCTCATCAGCACAGGCAACCGCGAGGTTGTGGTGAGCAACGCCATGTTTCCCCAACTCATTGCTAAGACAGGCAATGATGCAGGTCATGATCGCTCCGAAGAGGACGTCAGCCAATCCATCGCCCGGACGGCTGCCCCGTGAGGCCAAGACCGGCAATCTATCTCCACGCAGCAGCCAACTGGAGCCGCTGACACAGTCTTGCAGCAGCGCCCGGTCAGCGGCATCCAACCCCAACTGCCCAAGGGCGCCACCGTCCAAGAGATGTTGGGCCCAGGGAAGGATTTGGTCAACACGCGGCTGCAGTTGTCGCGAATCCCCGAAAAGGAGCTCCCGGTCAACCTCATAGAAAGCGGCCTGCACGTCCACGAAAAGAGCAATCAAGGAGTGCTGGGCTGCCAGGGTAAGGCCTGCTGCAGCTCGGTAGGCAGTGAGAGCATATCCCACATGCATGCCAGGGCGTCCTCCGAGCTGGAGCGGCTGATAGGCGTTGACCACCTTCCGACCTATTGTGTTGCGGATGTGGCCATGCCAAATTTTCGCCACGCCGTTAAGGAGAACAATGGAGCGATAATTGCTGGGGATCGCTGCCGGCCCTTTCTTGTAAAGGGCGCACGCAAGAGCGTGCTTGAAGCCAGATGGCTCCTTTCCTCGCAAAGTAATCTTCGCGTGCAGTTGCCAAAGCCAGCGGCTGGCAAGGGCGGGTTGGTGAGACCATACCCCGTTTCTAATGCCATCCGGCCCTGGAGCTTTAGTAGGGCGCTGTCGTCGGCAGAGATGCTCCACTTCCAGTAGCGACGGCAAAGCCTCAGGGCAGGGGCATCCTGGCTTTTCCTGCCACGCCAAGTGGAAGTCATCAAGCTGCTGAGGGGTCACCACTCGTCCCTGCTCCTGCTCCCTGAACTGTTCGCGTAACTCGGCTTGGATGTTGTAGCCACCAGCGGAGTGCACCTTCCTGCGTTCCGCTGCACGCCTGGAAGCCCATTTGAGATGCATCAGGGCATGATCCACCCGGCCATGGACGTGCCATGCCGAAATAGCGCCAGACAAGAGGGAGTGCAAGTGAACTGTTTTATCGCGTTGCCCCAGACGGTGCAGGCGCCGGCACATGCCCGCCTCGCGTCTCGAGAGGATCGCCACTTGACGCCATGTTTCGAGGCGTCGAAGCTGTCGGCGTCTACCCTTCCACGCCTGCCAACATTGTCTCAGCCATGCTAGCCGAGCTCGGGCCTTGGCCTGGACCTTGTCCTGTCTCAGCTGCTTGAGGGAGCACAGGAGTCGCCAAGCCTCCTCACTGAGATAGGGTTGCTTGGGATGCGCTCGGGGTCTGCGAGGCAATTGTCGGCAGAGAGCCTGATATCTCGCAACAAATGTCTCGACTTGAACTTGAGGGGGCAGGGATAGTGTCTCCGTCCATGATCCAACCGAGCCCCACAGGGCTGGAGCCATTCGAGCGCATTCTGTGGGTGTGCACAGCCGAGGCGCCCGCTCGACTGTAGGCGCCGCGAGGGTCAAGGTCCCCTCCGCCATAAGTGGCATGTGGTCACGTGGGCCTAGGAGCACATCGAAGTCCGGAAACGGTCGCGTCATGGAGATGTTCCAAGCTTCTTCGGAAATCAGGATGTGATCCAGGCGTTTGCGCAGCCCGCTGGAGTGCTGCCACGTCCAGGTGTGCCCTTGATGTATATGTGAGAAGGTAGACACTGCGACCAGGCACGCTTCTCGACAAATGTGAGCAAGTTTGTCATCCCCAACTCTAGGCTCATGAACGGAAACCAAGGTGCCAATGTTGTGGCCATTCGTATCAGCAACTGCAAAGTCCGCATTTGCATCAAGACCCAGCCAAATGGCTGCCGTAGGGGGCAATCTAGCCAAGCGTGTCCGCAAGTCACCCCAGAAGGCCACAATTTCGGAACGGGGGCGATCTGCATGTGGCGCATGTGCCGACAGAATGCAGATAGGCACAGGTAACCGCATTGATTGGATGATCAGCAGGCGGGGGGCAGAGTGCACTATCGTCCAAGCATCAAGAGTTGAGCAGCCGGGCACCCAGCTGTCCCTAACCCAGATTTCACAGCCGTATTGGCCGGCCTTGTCCGCGCCGGAGCGCCACGTGAGGAAGTTGCCGGACATCCACCTCCCTGCACGAGAGCGGCATTCTTGGAGAGTGGCGACGTCGACCTTCAGATGGTCTAACTGCTTGACCAAGTAGGCCCGTCGTTGTCCTGTGCCGGCTTTATTGAAGAAATGCGGGACGACATCCTTCAAGGTTTGGACATTCGCCTGAATGACGCGGGAGAAGATTGTAACCGGCGAGGGGGACCCCGTCTCACTTACATCCGGCTCGCCTGGTGTGTCTGGGATGCCCGAGTTGGGCGGCGGGTCAGGCGCAACCACGACACGAAGAACGAGGCAAGTGCTGGTAAGTAGTGTCCCATATGGCACAAGCCACAGGTGCTGGGCGTGTTTCACCCAGTGATCCGAAAACTGGGGGGGCTCTCTGCCCCTATCCGGTCCACTAGGTCCACCAGCCGCGGCTAGGCCAGCCAAGCTATCAGCCAGCTCATTGACGATATACCCCGCGTGACCTGGCACATGTACGAGGTCGGTGCTAACCCGTGATTGAAGGGCCTGCCAGGCCACTCTGGCATCTTTTGCCCATACGGAGGAGGCAGTTGCATGGCCTGCAGCCACCATGAGGGCGGCCTGGTTGTCGACTGCAGCCACAACCCGTGAGGGCACACCTCCCCAAGCAGCCCGGTTGGCATCCACCCATACGGATGCCCAAAGAGCTGCTGTTTGAAGTGCCATAAGCTCAGCAACATAGGAGCGTAGAACGGGGGGAACCTCAGATGGGAGCCCAGCTGCGTGCAACTTGCCATGTTCCCAGCCGACTCTGAACCAGGAACCACGGAAAGCGGCCCACGCGGTGAAAGCCCAGGCCCCAGAACCGGCCCCCGACCCATCCGTGGCCAGAAGGAGCTGATCCGGGACACCATGGGTCCATTTCGGGTATGCATCCCACGCAGCCCGCAGGTGAGGGCGGACCGCACTAGGGAGGTCCAGTGGCAGGTCCTCAGCCATCCAGTATTCATAAAGGAACTCCTGTAGTTGCCCGACGGGTGTAAGGTCCGCCTCCCAGATCCGATCTTCGCTCTGGCGCCAAACCAGTTCCGGTGCTCCGCGAGGGCAGAGGTAACAGCTCCAGCATTGCGTGAAAATCTGCCTGGCATCCCAATAGGCGTATGGGGTGGAACTTTGGCATCGGCTTAGCGGTCCTACAAGGCCCGCAGCCGAGAGGTTAGCCCTGTAGCCTTGCCCTCTCCACTGTGCTTCGGAAGGGACAGTGATCTGAAGCTTGCCATGGGGCACACCCCCAGCTTGGCATTGCGTGAGGACGTAGAGGACAGCAGCAATGCCGATCCACCCGGAAGGCGCACCAGTAGCACGGCATAAAACCCACCTACCAAGAAGCAGAGTCAGCCAGAAAGGTCGGGCTTGCAACTCCGTAGTCGACTGCCCCGCGTACGGAACGGAGGGCTCGATGATATCGCCATCCCGGAGTGAGATTTCAGACGGAGCCAACCCGGCGACCCCGCGCACCAGATGGGAGTTGTCGAGGGTGTCCATGGCCCGGACTGAAACCCTCTGGCAGATTGGGCTAGCACCCCAGAAGATAACATGAGCATAGAGATGGCTCGGGCTACGTAAACACAGATGAAGCCCAGGTGCGGGGATCCATGGCACAGGTGCCCATTGCTCCCCTTGTCCTACCCAGTCGCCCGCGAAGCAACAGGCAGCAGGCTTCCACGTGAACCCAACAGGTGTGTCCACGGTGCGCGCCGGTGCTCCTGGGCGCCACATGGTGACTCGCCCAGTTTGCGAAATGACAAATGGGAGCTGCCAGAGAGCGTGGTGGCGGGCCTGGGATGGCGTTAGATGTATGGGCATGGCCGGAGGGACCCGATAGTTAGCCATTGGCCTCGCACAAATGAGGTCTCCATGTCGGAGACGGGTGTTGGAAGAAGAAAGAAAGGAAGGCGCGGCTGTGAGGGGCCCTGCATAGTCCGTACCGATCCCGAGGGCGTCAGGAACTAGTCGGCATGGCATATCCCGCAACAGTAATCGCGCTTGCACCTCTCCGCCTTTGACAACCGCAACGCACAGAAGGGGGGGCGGGGGGCAGGGTACGAGATGTAGAGCTCCCATGCTCAGTGCTGGCCAGACAGGGACAAGAGGTTCCGGCCAGTCCTGCATGGTGGCTCGCACCAGTTGGTAGATGTCCTGCTGTGGCATATGCGGATGTGGCCGCAAAGGAGCCGCCGCCCCCATAACGGGGCACAGTGTTTGGATCCATGGAAAGCCGCCCAAGTTGACCGTGTGTTCGGCAGGACGCCATCTAGGCGAGGTTGGGTGATGGACCAAGCCGACCTCAACGACCCGTGGCTTCAGTGGTTGGTAGGCACCGCTCCTGGAGGGCGACCTTGACCGCCTGGCGGGAGGCTGTCCTGACTCACTGGAGCTAGAGCTACATTCAAGTTCCATGGCTGGGGAAACCCATAGAAGGGGCAAGAGAAGCACTATTTCCTGGCCCTGCCCAACTGGCCAATGTCCCCACCCTCCTGAGATTAGAAGGTACAGCCCTATGCTTAGGGTTAGGCTGCGACGTTCACTGGAGCGGGCCGAGGGCAGTGCCCTTACGGCACAACCCTCTCGCAGGACATCTCCATCCCTAAGATGAACCGGGTCAGTAAGTTGTGTTGCGGAAGATGTGTTGTACGTACGCACGATCCGCACAGGTAGGGGTCCGGACGCACAGATTGTTGCTAGGGCAGTGTATCAGTATGTGTGCATGGAAGGCGTCACGGCAGCGCAGGCACAGATGTATGCCTTGACCCCATGCCCAAGGAGCGATGACCCATTGGCCTCTAGCCCCCAACTCCGGGAAACTGTCGAAGGTCTGGGAGTGCGGCAACCATCTCGACCCAGCTGGGACCTCGATGACACTCGGACTGTTTCCGGGCTGCCATATGGTGCATTCAAAGGTGAAGGGTATGACTAAGAACCGTTGCCAAAGAGTGTCATGTCTGAGGGAGGCGAGGGATTCCACCGTGACCTCCCCCCCTCTTCGGGCGGAGCCTGCTTGTCCCAGGGGAGAGGCGTAGAAAACGTCACCACTACGCATGTGGAGTGTAGCCTGCACCTCGCTCTCTAGTTCAGAGGATGGCATTGGCTCAAGCAGCGCCTCGAGAGGCGGGGGTGGAAAGAGCTGCCCAAAGGCCTGCGGTGCTCGGTGACTTATAGCTTCCTGCACCCACTCCAGCCGAGCAACTTGCGGGATGCACAGGCTCAGCCTCCATGTTGACGCCACCACAACCACACAAACCAAGGAGTTGTCCGGTGGAACTGGGACGAGGGTCAAGGTGTTGGCGACAGTGTTGGGCCAAACTGGCACTAGTTGGTGCCCCCATCTAGGTTCCTCAGCATATAAGAGGCGCACTAGCCATGACCAGTCGCAGCTTCGGCTAATTTCGTGCGTGTCCCCCATGCCCCGAAAGGGGCTGAGCAGGTGCACCAGGATGGGCCCCGTCTCAGAGAGACTGCTAACCGTCCGCGCAGGGATGGCCACATGCCATGGAAATGCCCCTACCCGAACAGGTTCCGCGGCCTGGCGAAGCGTCATGGGCCTGACTAGTGTAGGGGTTAAGTGCATAACGATCACACTTGAAAGGAGGGAGACCCTCCAACCCGATGAGACCCCCAAGGCAATGCTGAACAGCCACCGGCCCAAGTGCCGTGAAGGTGAGGCATCAGTTTCTGGGACTAATTTCCAATGGACAGCTTCAATGTCAGGTGGCGCGCCATCCAACACAACAGAGCTATGGCAAGAAGAAGGCAGCCCGGCCAGAAGGGCCATCTCCGCCACAGCAGGCGGGGTGCATGAACACATGCGTAGGCACATGGCCAGGCTGTTGCGTCGCCATACCAGATGTGTGGCAGCGCTTGGCGCCTGCGTCCTTAAAATTTCCATGGAGAGTGCTCTGTGATTCGGAAAGCCCCCGCGGGCTTTATCCAGGTCCCTGGTATTGCCGTGTCGCCAACAAGACATGTGGGGGACGTGTTCTGGAGCTAGGTTTTGACTGGTCATCATCGCCCCGGCAGGGCCAGGTAGCCCCACCGCAAGAATGAACAAGGCACAGAGGTAGCCTCGTGGGCAAGCTAGAAGTAGCTGGAGAACCCAAGAAAGCCTTAGGCTCCGGGGACAGCCAGCTAGGGAGATCTCAATGTCTTCAAGCTGAGCCTGTGGACAGACCCAAAAGGGGACGCAGTCTCCGTCTCTGAAAGGCACAGTGGGTTGAGCCTGTACGCCCACAGGGGGCGGGATGAGGCCCACCGTACCAAGGATGCAGTAGTTGCGTAGCCATTCAGCGGGGCATTGTCTGGGGAGCTTCCTTGGCCACAACATCCCATCCCACCATAACACAACAGACGCTCGGTCGGACTCCGGCTCACAGGTAGTCAGGTGGATGGCGCTTCGGGTGGGCTGTGGTGACAACGGTATGACAGCATCGACCTGGGCTTGTCTTCTCCAAATTTCGGAGATGTCATATAGCTCATTAAGACAATCTTCGGTGAGCAGAAACCGACCTGTTAGCGGCTGCCTTGGCACAGCCGGGGAGTGAATGAGGAACTTCCCTGCAGTCCTCTGCCAGGAGGGTGATTCCTCGACGCGTCTGCCTCCAGCTCGAGCCTGCCACACAGTACTGAGCTGAGCCTGCAGGGCTCCGTGCTGCTCTGGGGAGGCATCCCTCACGGACCATGACAGGGTATTGCCGTACAGCGGTAGCGTGACATTGCAATGGGCGTGTTCGGTATGCCCCCCCCCTGGACTCGATGCTCCTGTAGCACTAACGAGAGCCTGTTCTACTCCGACAGGTGCCGGCGGCGCTTCTACCCCACAGGTCAGGAGGTTACCGAGAAGAAGCATCACCCAAAGGCCACGCCGGTGCACCAGTGAGAGGAGAAGTAGCGGGGTACGATACCCTGCAGAGGCCTGAGGTTCCGACCGAGCGCTGCTTCCATGTTCAGCCCCGTCTGGCAGGGTGACCGGGCCTTGTGGAGAGATGCCCAGGGTTGTCGTGCTGACAGGCACTCCGCTCTCTGCGCTACATTGAGGGTGGAATGCGTAGCCCTGGGTCCGCGGTCGCAGCAGTCGTAGAACTTCCCCAAGCTGGTGGGTAGCCGCCTCCCAAGCGAGAAGAGAGGTGTTATTAGGGGGCAGCGAGAGGGGAGTTTGACAAGAGCTGTGTGCGACTGCCGGGGATGTAGCCTCACTTCGTCCCGCCGTGGCCGTCAGGAAAGCCGGTCCTTCCGGGCGCAGAGAAATCTGGCCACCGGGCCCAGTGAGGAGAGTGTCTCCCCAGTCACTGCGGACAATCTCAGGCAGTTCTTCTTCTTCACCCCAGGGATTGAGGTAGCGCATCGGGCTGCGCGATGGTGTATGCTCCCCAATTGCCAGAAGCTGTCCGTGTCGGAGACCACTCACGATGGTGCCGAAACGAAAAATCTGTTTGTCGAGGACCAGGACAAACTTTTGTGCAAGCGGCTGTTCTAGGGTGAAGACAGATGTGGCCCACTGGAACAGGGCATCCCAGTCCAATGGGTTAGACCGACTCTCGAAGACTGCCGCCTGCCTATGCCACTGCATGAGCAAGTAAGTGTATGTCCCCACTCTAGTCCTAGGCACATATAGCCAGTGCTGAACCCCTTGTATCAGGGGGGGGGAGACTTCCAGAAGCTTCCCATCATTATCAAGCTGCCTAGGGAGATGGGCCCGAACAAGAACTAGACGAGCATCTGTGACCGTCCGTGCTGTCGTCGGAAGGTCCACAGGCTCAGGCAGTCCGAAGGTCCAGACTCTGCGGGGATGACTGGCTGGAATAGTCTGCCCGCTCACAGGCTGCACGACTATGATAGTGGCCAGCATGACCGGCGCCAAGCGCCAGCAAGCAGACGTCGAAAACATCATCAGTCCAGTGCCAGCTAAGGCGCCATACCAGTTAGGGACGCTGCGTCCAATCGCTGCCCGCTTACCCGGGAGAAGCTCTGGCCGGAGGTCGGCCTGACCTCCGCAAATCAGACGATGTGCCTGACCTCCTTCATCAATCGTGACCAATTGTTCCGAGATGTCCGGCAGCTGACAGACGGGTCTGAGCAGCTCACGGTGACTGCCATCTCGCAATATCCACCAAGCTCCAGAGGCCGGCGGGGTGCAAAGCAAGTCAATGGCATCTGGGCCAGAGTCATGCGCGAGGTGGAACACATCACGGGTAGGCCGGCATCCCTGCTCACGCAACCAGGTACTCAGATTGTCAAGGTCAACTTGTTGTCGGAGCTGGTAAACGGCCGGACCCCTACAGGGGCGCCATATCCGCAAGAGGGTACCCTCTGCCGGTGGGTGCTGGAGGAAGCAGTTAAGCACATCAACGAAAAGGAGGAACCCAGGAGGAGGGACACACATGAGAGGCGGACGTGCAGCAGTAGGGTCGACTGGCACTACCATGGCCATAGCAGCGTTGACAAGAAGTGCAATAGGTAGCCAACGGCCGGTGCAAGGTGCACTAGCAGTCCAAGCAACTAGTTGAGCCCACTTAGCAAGCCTCATGCCACCGCATGAGCTCCTTGCTTGCAGCGGTGAGGGCGGAAGAGTGTGCTCACTCTCCACATAGCAGCGGGAATCCTTGTTCGGAGTGCGCCGGAGAAGCGTGCCGCAGGCGTGCCCAAGATGAGTAATGGGTTCTGGCCACATCCAGCGGAACCCATCAAGGACAACGGCCACCCCTTGCAAGTCCAAGACTGAGAGATCTGCTACGGTGGCTACCTCAGCCCAGGAGGTTTGATCAGTACAGGCCGTCCTAATTTCATCTCCAATGATGAGAGCCCATGGCATCCTCCGGCTAGGACAGGGTACCACACAGCTGGTCTGGATCGAACCACAGTACACAACATGCAAGGTGCCTTCGTCGGGGATACCCAGGGTCGGGATGCATGGGTCAGCGAGCGAGGAATCCAGGGAAGAAATCTGACTACTCCTGGCTTCCTGGGGACCCGGCATGGATGCCATCCCCTGCGCTCCCATGTGTGGCGCAGAAGAGAGGGAGTCTGTGCGGCTATGCGACAGCAGCAGTCGCATGTCAACGCTAGCTGTCACAATCTCAGCTACAACAGCCTCATTATCGGCAGAGTGCAAGGATTCGGAGGGCCCCCAAAGGAGAAACATTTCCGTTGCCCGGAGCCATATTGTAGCCGTGGCTCCCGGTAGCTCACGCAGCGCGTAGAGAAGGTCAGCGCGGTTTGGGAACACCCCTTCCACGGCGAATGCCACACCGTGTGGAACACATTCGTGACAGTCATGCAACCAGACAAGGGTGCACATCCCACCTCTAGGGGCCGCGAGAAGAATAGGACCCGGAAGGCCTAAAAGATATGGCGGCACATCGAGCAGATGGGTAGTTTCGGGGTTTGGCGACCGAAGAGTGTGCAGCATATCCATGGCAGTGTCACGTGCTGTCACGCCTTGTACGCGTGGCAGCCAAAGATGTGGTTGGCCGGCTTGCAGCAAGGGAAAGACCTGCCTGCCTATAGTGCGCGTCCAAGAGCACCCTACTGGCATCGTCAGAGAGAGAGTGCTAATATCCAGAAGTGTGGGTGAAGCTGATTGAAAGGTATCAACAACCACGCAGACATCGCCATGCCGCATGCGCCCCCGGTGCGCACAGTCAATGCGGTAGGAATGGGTACCATCCGAGCTTTCCACCCATGCATGAATATCAGCTGCAGGATTGCGCCAGTCAACATCGAGGCATTTCCACGATCCTGCCCGTGCCACCAGAATGGTGCTATGCGTGTCTGCACTGGAGATAGCGACCATATGCACAGCTCTATGGTCCGGTGTCGCGGCAGCAGGCAGGACGACATACCTGCCTAGGGCGGATACAGTCTCAAGGAGGTCAGCGTGCACATCAAACCACGGCCATTGCGCCGGGTAGCACCGGGTAAGGACCCTCCCTGGGTGCCACAGCTTGAATGTGACTTCACGTGGGTCGTCATTGCCGAGGGGGCTAGGACTGATAACGGGCGTGAGAAGCCTGCCAGAGGCCAGCAGCTCTCGCTGAATTGCCGCATGGGTGGCCTGCGAGGCCTTGTTGGGCAGGTTGCAGGGGGGAGCTGGCACCCGCTGTAACCGTCCACTGCGATGTGGTGGGGCACTAGCAGCGCGTCCTGCAAGTGCTTGGCTGGCACCTACCACAAGCAGTAGGCACATAGAGCCGACAGGTCCCCGTAGCGGCGCTGCTGCAATGAGTAGGGCTTTTGCCAAGGAGGCTCCCCGCGAGGCAGCATTTTCAGAGTCACTCCCAATGGGCACCTCGACTAGTGTGTGTCGATAAGCTCGTAGCAGATCAAAGCCAGCCACGTCAAGCATGACATCAGGCCCGACGGCTTGATCATGGAGCAAACAGATATAATCTCCAGACATCACATGTTCATGCATGGCTGCCGTGTCCAGGATGCGAGCATGGTCTCTCGCAGTGACGTCGAGGATTTGGCTGCACGATATGTATCTGGGTACTGTGAGAGTAAGCAGTCCAAGGTCCAATGCACGGAGGTCAACTACCAAGGAATGCCTTCCGAGTTCCTCACGGCGGAAGGCTAGGAACTGCGTCGGCGGCAGGTCAGTAAGCGCATACCGCATGCGGCGCATAGTCAGGGAAGCGAGCTCAGGGAATTCGCCACGCAGGAAGCGGAAGGTCTCGCTATCAGGAGCAAAGGCCGGCGTGAGTGCATGTATGATACCATTAGCAGTGATGATAACGCAGGACAGGAGGTTCTGGCTGGGGGGGCCCTGATTGCTGCGCATGTCCGCATAAGGGGAGTGGGCACTGGCTTCAATCAGCCGCTGTTTGAGCGCAATCGGCGTCCAAACAATCGCGTCACAGCGTGGCTGCAAGAGAGGTTGGGAATCGGCCACAAAAGTACCCTCCACGCACTGACACTGCTCAGCTTCCGGGATGGACTGCATCTGAGTGAGCAGCGCTGCCGCTGCGACGAGATCGTGGCACTGTTCATCCCTTGCTGCTTGTAGCACATGGAAGCTGTCAAGCTCGCCTCGCACCAGGACAGGAACGGCTTGCGCATACCAAGGGAAGGCGCGGGGCCGGAGTACATACTGCTCGCGAGTGACAGAGTCAAACGGCGAGGCCAGCATCAACACGTCGACTGCATCTGCTGAGATGCCGAGGGCCTGCACAATGGCTTCATCAAGTGCGGGTCGGAAAAGGCGGCTGTCAACTCTGAAGAGGATAGGCTCGGGGCCTTCAACCACTCCCCCATGGAACACGGCAAGCTTCCGTGTATAGGTTGCCGTGCACAATTCCTGCATCGCTAGAGGCCGGGCACCGACCTCTTCCAAAGGGTGCAGCTCACGCCGTATTCGAATGCGTGGGACTCGACTGAGGGACCAAGCCGGAATTCTGTTGAAATGGGCCTGGCCCGCTACCTGCATCATGAAAGAGTCATCGGCCTCATTGTTGTCGGGCATCGATACAACGCCCTCCTCCTGTCTGACGTGTTCAGGATTATGGATTTTAGGCAGACCTGATGCTCCAACCGGTGAGAACAGCAGACAGAGAAAGAAGCACCCCTTCATCTGTTTTACCGCAGTCTCCCTCGTTCTCTTATTCCTGCACCAAGGCTCTCGCCGTGTATGTTGGGGCGGCAGGGCAGGTGAAAGGAGGCCTAGGAGGAAAACTCCTATCGGGAGCCAGGCTACCACAACCATCAAGAGGCAGGGTGCAAGGGCCAGCCCACATCCCATGGCAGCTAAAAGCAGACCTAGGACCTGGTGCTCACTGGGCAAGTCGTATGCCATCTGACCAAGGGGCTTGAAATGGGGTGGATCGGCAAGGGTAGTCCACACGCAACCCAAGAGGACTCCAGCAGACAGTGCCGCCAAGAGAAATTCCGTGCCTTGAACGGCAATGCAACCTCCGCAACCAAGGCAATGTCCTATAAACCAGAGAGTTCTGACACTAACGAAGGTGCCTCGTCCTGAGGGTGGTCCAAGGCCTCTGGCTGTTGAGGTAGTACCCGCAAGAATGCACACTATGCAGGCGAGAAGGGACAGGCGCACGTTTGCAGCAGGGCGTGATGCGGAAGGGCTGGGGTGCTGGCACCCAGGCGTGCCGCTAAGTCGGGGTGCTTCCCGAGAACCAGCTGTGGGAACAACCATTCTTCTGTGCATTGTGGCGTGTATGACATGACGTCCTGAACCGCAGCATGAAGAATGTGGCCTAGGAGGAGCACAGCTTGGGGACAGTCCGGAACAGCGGCTGGGCAGCTTTTTAGGCACGAGTAGCAGCGCATCAGGTCCTCTACCACAGTCGCAATCTCTGGTCCGCATGCCCAGGGGTGTTGCTGCAAGCTCCGCAGCGTGCTCTGACATTGGTTGCGGACCTCTTCGGTGTCCATGTGCGGTGGCTCGGGAAGCACCTCCTGCAACACCGGATTGCTTTGAGCCGCAGTGGCAGCAGCTCCACACATGTCCATAAGTTGCCCCACCGACGTATTCCATGCCGTGATCCAACTCAGTTGCCATTGCTGCCAGTCTTCCTCGACCGCTGAAAGGGGGGCTTCCATCTCCTCTCCCCCAAGAAAGGACATTGGCTCGCTGAAACCATCGGATCCATCCAGCTCCACCGGTGCAGAATGGGCAGGTGCCATCCAGGACGAGGTTGGGCGTGAGGGACGGGTGGGGGTTCTGCCGGTGCTTTCCTGCGGCCATGGCACAGCCTCCGGCGTTCCAGCCAGTGGCCCGTGATCTTGCGTGCTTGCCATGGCTGTGTCGGTCTGGCCTCGCGTCCCTGTGCCCATAGATGTCAGCCTGGGACTCTTCACCGGCCGTTTGTCCTCCTCGAGCAAGGGCTGCGAGCGTTTTGTCCAACGGTTCCCAGAGACAGGAGGAGGCTGGGCTCTGTGGCTTTCTGTTACCATCGTTGGGGAACCCGAGGTCAGCATAGCGCCAGGGAAAATGCCCCCGTCGAGACCTGGTGGTTGTCGTCTGGCATGGTGGCCACCAATCCCCTGCGTCTGAGTCGGGACTGAAGGCACCCCACCGCCAACTGCCGGAGCGCGGTTGTGTCCCAGTGGATCCAGTGCAGCTACAGCCCGAAGAGCGTTGGCCGCCATCTCGAGCAAGCCAGTCACTTGGGGTGGCCAGATAGGCCCTGCATTCTGTGCACCTTTGTGCAGCAGAACCTGGGTGGCATCCGAGGTCGTAGTGGAGACCAAAGGCGTTAGTATCTCCAGGGCTTCTTTGACATCCGCATCCAATTGTCCCGCCAAGCGCTCCACCTCCGCATAATTGGTGGATAGGTGCTCTGCGAGCTGGGAGTGCCATTGGAGAGCCGCTTCGCCCAAGTCCTGCTTCGCACGAAGGTCTGCTTCCAGTCTCTTGGTAGTTTTGGCAACTTGCGTCGCCAGCCAGTTGGCTTCCTGTGCCAAGGTACGCTTGCCAGCATGTTGTTCTTCGGCAGCTAGCACAGCATTTTGAGCCCTGCCAGCACGTGCTTGGAGGGCCGAAACCACACTCGCAGGTGGCACGAACCGCACAGCTGACAGCAAGGGCGCCGCAGCTTTGGTTTTCCCAGCACCCTTCGGCTGGCCCTTCGATCCAGTCTCCTTCCGGCTCTGAGGCGGCATGGATCCGTGATGCCGTAGAAGACGGAGTCGATCGTCTGGTCTGCCGCGACCGGTTTTCAGCCGGTTCCGCGCCACTTGGCGCTTCCTCCGCAGCCGACGATGCCACGGGGGAGAGCGTGCCCTGCGAGGCACCGTTGTAATTCTGGAGGTTTGTCCAAGTAAGAGGAAGCAAACAAGCCAGTGCAAAGAGCTTGATGAGGACTCGCTGTCCTCTCATGTGCTGCGCGTCCCAGATCAGTCGGCCCAGGAAAGGCAGCGAATAACCAGGGAGGCGCAGAGATATCAGGGTGACGGCCCAAAAAGGCAGCGTAACCCACTAGGGAGGGGATGAAAAATCCCGGTGGCGGATCCAGTGCCCAAACCACCAGCCAGCAAATGATCCAGGACCAATGCCAGCAATTCAGGGCCCCGCGACCCTGAGGATCGGCGCGGGCCAGCCGCGCAGATCAGAAGTACCGGACCCAAGCCCGATAGATGGCGGCAGGACTAAGGCCTGCCTGGGGTCTGGCTGTTGCAGATCCGCAGGCGCTGCTACGAGCAGAGGCTACGGAAAGACACAATCTAAGCCGAAACGCCTAACCCAAAACCCCTAAAACCCCTAACCGTGCCCACAGTACGTAAGCCCCCTAGAGCTAGCCACACCTAAACTCTGAACCACGAAGCCTCTGTTAACTCAAACGCCACCTACACCCTACCATGGGAGGTTCCTAAGCAAAGTCCTTAGCTTCTTGTGCCACAAGTGTCTCGAAGTCCCAAGTCCCTTCAAGAGCCGGGCAATGCCGGCAGGTCCGAAAACCCTAAACACCCTAAAACCCTAAAGCCCCACCCGAAACACCCTAAAGCCTAAAGCCTAAACCCTAAACCCTAGGATCCCTCCAACTGAAAGTGGCAACTGAGTGCAGGCCGTCGCAGCAAGTCGGCCCCCCCTGCCTGGCGGGTGTCCCAGTGGGCATGTGCCGGAGGCCGGAGATTGGGCTTGGATGGGGTTTAGGGTTTAGGGTTTGGGGTTTAGGGTTTAGGGTGTAGGGTTTAGGCGGTTAAGGGTTTGGCTTACTGAGTCAATAGTTGAACTTCGAGTTTTTTGGGTTTCTTTACATGTTTTTTACAGTTTCTGCCGGTTTAGGGATTTTCAGATTTAGAAAGTGTAGGGTGTAGAGGTTTAAGGGTTTAGGCCCTAGGGTCTATACAGGTTTTGGTGAGCTTAGAGTCTGAGGGTAGGTCCATGAGATGTTAACATGGTCCCTAACCTCCTTTTGAGGGTTCTGATGTCTGGGCCCTTAATGTGTATAGGACATACAAGGGGTGTCTAAGGGGTACCCTTGTAGGGGCCCATACTAAGCCTAAACCCTAAACCCTAAACCCTAAACCCTAAACCCTAAACCCTAAACCCTAGACCCTAAACCCTAAACCCTAAACCCTAAACCCTAAGCCCTAAACCCTAAACCCTAGACCCTAAACCCTAAACCCTAAACCCTAAACCCTAAACCCTAAACCCTAGACCCTAAACCCTAAACCCTAAACCCTAAGGGTCCATGTAGTTGCCCTTAGATAGAGAGTTTTGTTTTTAGGGGTGCTTGGCGTTTAGCACGGGGCTCCTTGGGTCTTGGGGTTTCGGTTTCAGTCTTCAGCATCCAGCAGAAGAGTTTAGGGTTTCGGGTTTGGGGTTTAGGGTTTCGGTTTAGGGTTTAGGGTTTGGTGTTTAGGGTTGAGGGTTTAGGGTTTGGGGTTTAGGGATTGGGGTTTAGGGTTTGGGGTTCTTAGAGTCCCTTAGGGATTCTTCACACGGGCCCAAAACCAAAGGGTACCACCTAAGGGGTTCAAGGTAAAGTCCCTTGAAAGTCAGGCGCCAGGCAATAAGACCCAAGGCTGCCACAGCTTCGCCCAAGAAGCTTCCCGTTTAGGGTTTACTTGGAGGTTCATGATACTTATGAACCAAGTACAACTGTACTTATAACTGTACTTATAACCATATTAGGGCACTTGAAGGGGGCTTGTAAGAGGGTTCTAAGTGCTACAATTGGTTAATGAGTACCACGAACCTCCAAGTAGGGTTGAGGGTTTAGGGCTTACCCCTAAACCCTATTTTAAACCCTAAACCCTAAACCCTAAACCCTAAACCCTAAACCCTAAATCCTTAGGGTTACCTCGAGGCAAGGCAACACTTCAAGGGGAGTCCAGCTGTTCCCCAGAATCCCTGTAAGGGTTTAAACCCTAAAAACCCTAACAACCCTAAACCCGAAAAAACCCTAAAATCCCTAAAACCCTAACAACCCTAAAAGCCCTAACAACCCTAACAACCCTAAAACCCAAAATACCCTAAAAACACTAAAACCCTAAAAACCCCAAACCCTAAAACCCTAAACCCTAAACACCCTAATTCCTAAACCGCAAGCCCCATGGAACCTCAGATCTTTGGAAGAGGCCCCGTGAAAGCCCCCTCTCCGCCCTGGAGCCTAGATCCCCCCAACACCTCCCGCTCAGGGCTTTATAGGGCTGTCGGCCCTTAGGCGTAGACCCTAAACCCTAAGCCCGAAACCCTAAACCCTAAACCCTAAACCCAAAACATACACCGTAAAAACCCTAAACCTTAGGCTGAGGGTTGAAGTTTAGGGTTTAGGGTTGGGGGAGATCTGAGGGCTTTGGGGAGTCGTGGCCAGGCAATGCTGCTTCTCAAGTTCCTCAGGACGTCCCTGCTGTGTTGGCTTAGGGCTGAGGGCTTAGGGTTTAGGGTTTAGGGTTTAGGGTTTGGGGTTTCGGGCTTAGGGTTTAGGGATGTTTAGGGGTTAATTAGGGTTCATGGTTTCAGCAGGTTAAGCTGTACATGCAAGAGAGCCCCTTAAAGCCTCCCTTCGTCGCGCATGGGACAGGCGAAGTGTGTGGTTCATCCAGAGGATCGCCCTCTTGAGGCTCCTATATGATGGTATCTTGGGTTTAGGGTTTAGGGTTTAGGGTTTAGGGTTTAGAGTTTAGGGTTTAGGGTTTGCTATACTTGCTTAGCCAAGAGTAGAGCTTTATTTGCTTGGGGCTTCCTTATCTGGTAGGAGTCGTAAAGTTTAACCTTGATTGTGTCCTAGGTGGGGTGCCACAAAAAGGTCTGATCATCTAGACAAACGTCTGCTTGGTCCTGCCAAGGAACAGGGCAGAGTCCCTGAAAGGAAGTAGATTCCTGTTGATGGATTCATGCGAGCTAGGATTCACTTTGGGCACTCCGACCCCCCTGTAAACGAAAATTACCAAACCCTAAACCCAGGGTAGGTTAGGCCTCTAAACCCCAAACCCCAAACCCCAAACCCTAAACCCTAAACCCCAAACCCTAAACCCTAAACCCTGCAAAATGAGGATGTGTCGGCGGATTCCTCTGATGCATCATCGTCGTACTCCACCGAGGCATTCAGCTTTCCTTGCTGCACATGTGCACCTCCGGGGCTGCCCAGTTTCGGGGTCTAGGGTTTAGGGTTTAGGGTTTAGGGTTTGGGGTTTGGGGTTTAGGGTTTAGGGTTTAGGGTTAGGGTGTGGGGGGCGTTTGTTAGTTGCCAGGTCTGTTGAGCTCACTGTCATAGGTGTCTGTTGGTGCAGTGGGTGAAAAGATTCGGTGCGGTTCACGTTTGTTGTGCGTGAGAGGGGGAAGTGGGGGGGGGGGGGGGGCAAGGGTAAGATGGACACTTAAAGGCTATGCTGCACGTGTGTGCCTTGTAAACAAATACTTTGCAAAGAAAACACCCGCAGAATAGACGCAACGCGCCCGCAGAATAGACGCAATGCACCCTTAGCATCAGCACACTGTGTCCCGGGCGGGGGCGCGGAGGGCGCGGAGGGCGCGGAGGGCGCGGAGGGCGCGGAGGGCGCGGAGGGCGCGGAGGGCGCGGACGTGTCCCCACTCCCTTGCCCGTCAACGGAATGTCACGCTCCCCATCCGTGCTCCCCCCCGAACCCGTCCGTCAACCTCCAGGCATGGTCCACGCCTCCCCACGCCACCCCTCTCCCAGCAAAATGTTCCGAACCCCCCCCCACCCCCCCCCCCCCACCCCCCCCCCCCACCCCCCCCCCACCCCCACCCCCCCCCCCCACCCCCCCCCCCCCCCCCCCCACCCCCCCCCCCCACCCCCCCCCCCCCCACCCCCCCCCCCCACCCCCCCCCCCCCACCCCCCCACCCCCCACCCCCTCCTCTTTCGCCAAAAAGCGATCCGGTAGAACGCCTTCCGCGTTGAAGCGCCAAACGAGAACCCAAGAACAGAATTGGTTTTCGGGAAGAATCCAAGAAAACAAGGAGCACGTACAGAATAGACGCTAAGCGTCCAAGGCACGGAGGGGAAGGTGGGGGAAGCCGATGCATTTCACCTGTTTCAGCTACCAGACCCGCAACTAGGCACTCGGCGATCGCAGTAATACCCCCCCCCTTTTTCGGGGTCAGTTTTTCTGAGAACACTTGCCTTAGCAGCCAATTCTTTTTTCAGTTACGACAAGGGACGGGGAGGGGGCAGGGTTTTTTTTGGGGCTAAACCCCTAAACCCTAAACCCTCAAAACTCAAAACTCAACCAAAGCCGGAGACCCCAAAGCCTGGAGGCTACCACCCCCGAGACCTCCAGAACTTCGAGTGTGACACCATCCTCGTACTCCACGGAGGCAGGGGTGGGGGGGGGGTTTCGGGTTTCGGGTTTAGGGTGCTGAGCTGAGGAATGACAGGGTGGTAGGTAAGAAGGATTTGGGCTTGGTGGGTAGCTGTTTGGGTTTTGTTGAGGTTCAGCAAGTAGGTTGGCTTCGGCCCCAGACACAAGTCGTGGCGTGAACAGTTAGAAACAGGGCGCCGTTGTAACTTCTGCTAAGCCCTAAACCCTAAACCCTAAACCCTAAACCCTAAACCCTAAACCCTAAACCCTAAACCCTAAACCCTAAACCCTAAACCCTAAACCCTAGACAGGGTTTCTACACGAAGGAAAAGACATGAAAAACCTAACCCCACCCTGGCTTCAAATCCCCAACACGTGATGCTCATGTGTT